GGGAAACCTATTTCTTTCTCTCTTGCGAATATGCTCGTCAAGTTCCGGCCGTTGCCTTATCTGACGCCGAATTCCGTGAGGCGATGGCGCTTGCATGCCCTAGTGTCGTTTGTTCCCGCCCTTCTCTCGAACAGAACATCATCGATCCCCCTTCTCCCCTTCACTTCGGGGTCCATTTAGCCAGTCTGCAAGTGGGGCTTCGCTTCCCCGCTGCATAATGCCCATTTATGCGTCATGGGCTATTATGGGGTGATTCGGGGTCAATTTTCCCCAACTACTCACATGTTCATCGCTGGATTCATTACCCGATGCCTCCACTTGGGAATCCGCCCAACAATCGATCTTTTCCGCTATTTCTTTCATTCCGTGAGACCCGGCGCCTCTGAATCCCCAAGATATCTCTCGATTTCCCAACGGGCTGGCCACCGCTTATTCAAAGCCAAATCCTACTCTGAGTCCTTCAAGGGTTGGAGGCAAAAATGGGTCTGGATTACCCCCGCGAATGGCAAACTCCAGTTCACGAACAAGTGGGGGGAACTGATCCGGAAGTGGGCAATGCCGTTCTTATCGGAAGGGAATGCTGAGGCCGCCAAAATGATCGCTGATGGGGCACCCTTCCTGATGGGGCACTACGTAGGTGAGGAAGAGGTGGTAGTGCTTACATTCCTGCCAGGTCGGCTTTGCCTGGTCTGGCATCTATTTTCTTTTCCATCTGTTTTTCTTCCCTCACATTTCTTGCGCTTTGTTACAACGGGTGATAAGATGGCCTCTCGGTTGGAACGACTTGCTGCCAAGGCTGGCGCCACTCCTGGTCCTCTGGTTCCTCTTAGGAAAATCTTGACCCGGGGGCCACAGGGGCTGCCTTAGAGAAGTCGGGGGGAGACAGTGCTGGGACCCTGAATACGCCGACCCTTAACCCTCAGCCGTTAAGGGGGCTGGGAAGAGGCCGACACTTCGGCCTGTCTCCGGGCCCAAGAAGAAGGGGAAAGCTGTTGCGGAGCCTTCTGAAGATCTGGTTGAAGTGGACTCCGATTCGGATGCCCAGTCTCAAGAAGGTGGCAATCAGGGGAAAGCCCCGACACCTGTTCGCCATACAATAAACTATGTGGCCCTGGGCCTGGCCGTCACTCCCCCGTTGATGCCGAAGTGATCGGGGAATTGTTGCCTCGGGCGGCTATCCGTCGTGCCGTCCACTCCATATTTGAGGTATGTTTCGATCCTCATTTCCCACCATCAATTCAATGCTCCTATAGTCCCTTTTTCATTGTTTCCAGGCTTTCATCTTGGCCTCCTCTGGCTCTCGTCGCCTAGATGGAGGGCAGAACGATGCTCAGACCCTGATGGCAGGCCTTAAGGAGCAAACTGCGAATCTCGAGAGGATGCTAGAAGCGGCGGAGCTGAGAGGGGACATGTTGCAGAAGAGGCTGAACGGTATTGAGGCTGCGCACCGAGTAATGGAGGAGGAGCTGAGGAGGAAAGCTGAGGAGGCAGGCCCTGCTGCTGTTCAGGCCTTCCGGGGAAGTGCAGATTTCCTGGCTGAGGTGGAGCAGATCATTCTGAACAATATTGAGGCTGCACACCGAGTAATGGAGGAGGAGCTGAGGAGGCAGGCCCTGCTGCTGTTCAGGCCTTCCGGGGAAGTGCAAATTTCCTGGCTGAGGTGGAGCAGATCATTCTGAGCCGTAGGGCACAGATAGCTCAGGACTGGCTCCAGACTCCTGAGGGTGAGGCTAGGCTGGACGAGGAGGGAGCCCTATGCTTCCAGCTGGGACAATACAGGATGCAGAAGTCCTTGTATGATCTCCTCCAGAAAAGAGACCCCTCTTTCTCCGCCCAAGCCCGGGGACTTCCGGAGCCGATGAAGAATCCAGAGGCTGCTGAGGAGAGCCCAGCCCTGGCCGTTCCAGTCTCTGAAGTTCCTCCTGCTCAATTCGGTAAGTAATAAGACTTTTAAAACACTAATATGGACATCTTTCTCAGGCCTGCGCGCCTGTAATTGTTTTCCACCAGCGGGGTGGTTTGTAATTCAAACATCTTTACATTCTGTTCTAATTCTGCACACACCTATACATTACTGCCTTTTGATCATCTTGGCTGATTGCATAATTCGATCTGTTTGGTACCTTAACATTTGTTTGCGGTTTCCGGCCCTATTCGAGCTGGCTTCTTCCCTTGGATTCTTTTGTCCTCTGGGGAGTCGACCTGTGCAGTTCAGTTTATAAGTCCCTGGATGGCCCTTAGGCTTTCCCGATTTTTGTATTCAATCACCTCTGTCCTTTGCATATTTTTGCCTTGAATTCCCGGTCAAGATCGTCTTTCCTTTGTTAAGGATGACATTACCAATTTTAAACCCTTAGGCTCTTAGTAATTGAGCCAGATCGGGTGGGCTTCCTTTTAGGTTGCTTTGACCTTGGTGAGTAGCCTCTTTAATTGGCGAGGCTCGTGAGCCTCTCCGGTGCAAAGTTAATTCCTTCAATTTCATCTTTTGCCTTGTAAAACTAGTCTTAACCTTGAGAGAGGCTGTCTTTTCCTGCTTGAGGAAATTTGACTTTGTTTGTAAGGCTGTTTAACCTTGAGAAAGGTTGTTTTATTCCCGCTCTTGCCTTTAGAAAGACTAGGTTGAGCTTTTGGAATTTAGACGAGTTTGGAATTTATACCTTGTCTTTTGCGAGTACCAATTAGGCATAACCTTTATTTTTTTTGGCTGGTTAAGAAACCTTCGCAAGTAATGCATAAAGGACATTTGTGAATGAAAACGAAACTTTATTAAAACTCGAAATGAAAGGAAATTACATACTTTCTGGTAGGATTTCAATAAGTGCGCAGAATCCCACACCATTTCTACCAGTTTTTCTTCTAGGAGTTCCCGACCTTGTAGGTCTCGAACCCAACAATTCCCTTGATCTTACAGGGCCTCTCCTAATTATTCTGCCCATCCTCGTACCTTAATGAATTATGTTCGATAGCATTGATCCCCGTATCACGTCCTCCATGAGCTTTGCAGGCCCTTACATAATAGCTTCTGGCCATCTTATGGTCTCCTTTCACTACGCCTATCTCGGCCGGCGTGTGGAACTTCATGCATAGATGGGCCTGGGAGATAATGGCCCCCAGGTCTTCCAACAGAGGTCGGCCTAGGATGGCCTTGTGAACACTAGGTAGTTGAACAATAACGAAATCTGCTTCGATCTTCCTGAAATAGGGTTCTGATCCGAGTTGGATATCAAGGGTGATCACCCCTTTTGGCTCAATCGTGTCTCCGATGAAGCCTGAAAAAGGGGTTCTTACTGGCCTGAGAGCTCCCTTCTGGAGCCCGATCTCCACAAAAACATCCATATATAGTATGTCGACTGATGGTCACCGAGAATCCTCTACACTTGATGGTGTCATCATATCCCATCATGACCATATAAGCTACGTACCTGGATACGTGGTGCTGGGGTTTGGTTTTTCCTCGGTAGGCTTCAATGTTGCATGGCCGGTATCGTTGTGGTAATGGCGTGTCCATAATCTGACGCGTGAAAGGCTCGGGGATCCTTACACCATGATTGAGATCGACTCTACCCTCCATCTCTCTTCTGAGCTCGTCCAGCCTCCTCCTGAGATCGTCATTGTTATGACATGCCCGGATAGGCCACGGAGATCGGCGGTCTCTCTGAGCCCGCCTATTCGTGTTGATCTCGTCTCGGAGATCTCCCCCACGCATGCTACGGCGACGGGATGAAACGGCGGCTGAAGAGGCTTTCCTCGCTGCGCTCGACCCTAGAGGAGAGCCTCTCGTGGTCAGAGACTCGCTGTTCACTTATTCGATTCACCACATGAACATTTGGGGTCATTCTGGAATGGTGGGAGCGTTGAGACCTGACCGGTGGAGAATCCCTAGGTTTTTGAGGAGATATTTCCCCTCCCTGCCGGGCTATGGATGGAGCCCGACGAGGGGAGTGAGGTCTCCCCGCAGGATCAGAGATGATGATGCCTTGGAAGACGGTAGTTAGGGTCTCCACCGCTCTTTGAAACGTGGCCAAACTTGCTAGGACTTGCGTCGGGTCCACGTTGGGGATATTGTGTCCGGTACCTGGCGTCTGAAAGTGCGGTGGCCGCACCGTCGTTCGTCTGGAGCTCCCCATGCCTTGGAAATGGTTCCTCAGATCGCCCGGAGCGGCGACGTTGTCGTTGCGCCTTCGGAAGTCACTCCGTCGTGACCTCAAACCCTCATTCTCGATTGCGACTTGGTGGAAACGGTCGGTGCCTTGGTTGCTACCCATACAGTTGTGGCTATTGGATACCACCATTGTCGTGCAGATTCGGCTCTCAATGAAAGCACCAAATGATGGAGTTTGATCCAACTGTTAGAGCTAAATCTACTAAAGATGTTGATATATGGCAGCGTAAGGCAGTATTGTTATTATTCGAGAGAATGATTGATCGATCCCTTCTTGGGAGAATTACAGGAAGTATTTATAAACTACAAGAACTAGTATTCTAGGAGGAAACTACTACATTTAATGCTATTAATTACGAAGCATATATTAGTTTGAATAGAATTCCTGTAGCGTCTTGGCCATTATGCAATGGTTATCTTCTCCGAGCCTACGTTTCCCGGTGAGTCCTGTCTGCTGCCAAATAGCTATGCTCAAATAATAGCCTGCCACGTAAACCCTAGGAATATCCCAGCCTCACTAGAACTCCGCCCAGGCTCGAGGTCTGCCATCCAGCCTGGCCCGGCTGTGGGTTCCTATCGTGGGCCTGATTCCCATTTGGGCTTAGCGGCTTATTTAATATGAATCCCGTTCAGGGCTCGATCCCGCCCTGGACTACGTAATTGGGCCATGGTCAGAGTCCATGGTACCATCAATACCCTTTTGCTTTATCTTTACATATAGAGAGATGATTAAAGAACCTGAAATATTACATTAGGTGAATCAATTTTATTTGTTGATTTATGCATGTTTCTCCCCAGATTTCATGACCTACTTTGATCACAATACTCTTCTTGCCAGGTGCCCCACACATGACATGGAAGGAGAAGAAGGATTTGGAAAACAAAAAAGTTGCTTCTCTTGGGGGAAAGGTGGTCTTTTTTTCCCCAGGACATTGTGACATTGATATTTATTTAACAAATATGTTTATATTTCTGTCCATGTCGCCTGTTGGTATTCATTAACTTTATTTGGAGTGAATTCAGCATCCAAAGAAGCAGAGACTTCCACTTAGTGTGGCTCGGGTGATGATGAAGAAACAGAAGGAGAGGGAGCAAAAAGAGTTAGAAGAGGTAGGTCGTTCATTCTACTCTTTCTTGTCTCACTTTGGGTTGTGTATCTATGTTTTGACATGTCTTTTGAAGTTCTTAAGAAAAAATTAAAGATTAACATAAAATGATATTCAAGCTTGTCATGTCGAATGGCAAGCGCCATGGCACACAGGCGTTTTTCATGGCGCATCCGCGCATGGCGATGGCGCATATGGCGCTATGGTGCTATGGCGAAGACCACTTTTTCATGGCGATGGCGCATATGGCGCTATGGTGAAGACCACTTTTTCATGGGGATGGGCGATGGCGCATATGGTGCGTGCCATATCTCGCCATTGACAACTTATGATGATATTGTATTATGTATTACATGTATAACATCTCAATTCATTTTATTCGCTTTGAGAAACATTCTATAGACTAGGCCTCCCCAAAGTCCTTCATCCAAACATACATATTTGACCAATGTAAACTTTTAAATTTCGGCAACATGCTACTGGTATAAAAATAATCACACTAGTATATTTAGATTTATTTGTTGCTTTTACTAACATAATTATAACCTCTTGGCGACTCATTTTTGGCTAGTTACATGGGTTATTAGCTTTCTTTGATAAAAAAATAACTGGGGGCGGTGGCACTTGTCTGATGTTTGATTTCTTTTCAAATTTCCAAAAATTGTGGGTGTTAACTATTTGTTGGTGTAGAATTTAATTCTTAGGCGATTTGGGATAAATAACGGATGCAGCTCTAGAAGAGGAGCTCAAAGGCGCATCCCTGAAGACAGGGTACTAAAATCAAGTGAAGGTCGGTTCAGGAATGGCGTGCTCGATGTAAAAGGTATGTTTAAACCATCTACGTCGACAGCTGTCCCTGATGAGAAAAAGTTTACTCCTTACAAAGGTATGAAGAAAAAAGGGGGCAATAAGAACAAGGGCAAGAAGGGTGGCCGTGGAAAGCGCCACTAGATATGCTGTTATTGTTTCATAAGAGGTAGTTTGCAATTTTGCTAGTTAGTGTATTCAAAATAGGCATTTAATGTCTTATTGTTAGCTGTTACGATTTATAAACTATGTCGCACAGAGAACCAGAGGTTTGTACGTGAAATTCAAGTAGTGAGCTATCATGCTTTACTATGAGTTAGTTATACAGAGAGTGTTTATTCGCCTTTTGATATTACTTTTTCATTAACTTGTAAGCAATTTATTTTGTAACTTGTAAGGGCTAGTATAATGGTAATTTACTGCTTCATGTTGATAACTTGATGGAAATGGCTCCTCCCATTTTCACTACCATGATTCCATGAAGAGATCAAAATGGAAGCCTGCTCAAGGAAATTTTTTAATGATTCATGATTGAGTGCATGAGATGCAATTTTCTGTATGTCATGAAAATTCAGAAGCTCTTTGCTTCCTCATCTAAATTAAGGACTGCATATTGTCCTGTGCTTAGACAATTATTTGCAATAAGAGTGTAAACACACGTCATATTTGCAATTTTGCATATTAGAGCACGTTAGATACTAAATTGAAGGGAAAAAGGTCAAATAGGTCCTCGAACTTTCATAAAAAGGTCAAATAAGCTCTATCCTTATATAGAGAGCTCTGTCCGGTCGTCGCCATTTGGGGCAGTTCTCGATGGATTTTTTTGATGAAATTTTTTGAACGTCTTATTCATTAAGTCTAGTTTATTCATACCAAATTTCAGCTCACAATTCAATCGGAAATGCATTCAAATGAATTCTTGAAGATAACTGCGCTTTTTAACTGCGCAGTTATCTTCAAGAATTCATTTGAATGTCTTTCTGATTGAAGTTTTAGCTGGAATTTGGAATGAGTAAAATAGACTTGATGAATAAGATTCTCAAAAAAATTCATCTAAAATTCCATCAAGAACCTCCCCAAATGACGACAGCCGGACAGAACCTTCTATATAAGGGCTTATTTGACTTTTTTATGTAAGTTCGGGGGCTTATCTGACATTTTTTCCTAAATTGAATGATTTCTCCACTACGAGTAGTTCAATTCTTCAATTATATCTTTTATAGTTCAATTATATCTTTTATATTCTACCAAAATTAGTACTATAATTAGTATCATGGTTTCTTTGAATTTTTTTCGAATTAATGCTTATTAATTAATTAATTACGAAAATAATGTTGGGTTAAAAGTATTTACCGATATACTGTTGGGATTAATCATGGTCGGGGCAAGTCGTCAAACGGTTGGGTGACTTATAAGTCGTCATCTGGTTTGACGACTTATAAGTCGCCCAACCGTTTGGCGACTTACCCCTTAATATAAACAAGGTCTCATTTCTCCTATTTAGGGGTTACGAACTAGATACAACACATTACAATAACCCAATATTCATAACACAGTAGTCATCTAATATTCATAATCGAACACATCAACACATCATAAAAGAGTTTAGAGGTGAAATACGTAAAATAAAGTCAATTCTTCCTACGTCTAGTGTACAAGAAAAACTCCAATACAAAAGACAAACTATAAGTTCTCACGGTCTTCTTGATCGTCTTGATCATGGAGATGTTGCTGTTGCTGCCTACGCCTACGTCGCTGGCGTGGTTGAAGAACCACTCTCTCATGTTGAGTCTGGGATGATGAAGCTGTCGTTAGGGCTGGGTCCGACAAACCGAAAATCGAAAACCGAATCAAATTAAACTGAACCGTGACCAAATAAAATCGAACCGCTAAAAACCAAAACCGAATGTAAAAAACCGAACCGAACCGAACCGTAGTAGTTTGGTTCGGTTTTGGTTTTTACCCTTCAAAACCGAACCGAACCGAACAAACCGAACATAAATAAAATATGAAATTTTATTTGTTAAATGTAAGCATTAATCTTAATATCATCAATAATCTTTGAATTTCTTGTGCTAGAGAAATAATGTTTATACTATGTTTAGTTTAGTTTATAAATACATTTACACATTCATTGCCCATAATAATGTAGTTATATTGATCTATTATGTCTTTTATGTATGTATGTTGCAATTTTTTGCATGATTATATGTTTTTACTAGTTATTAGTAGTAATTAACTTTTATTTTTATGTAACTTAATTCTTTTTTGTAACTTAACTTTTTTATATTGATAAAACAAATAAATATTCATCTCGGTTAAATCACACAGGACATATGTATTCATAAACGTTTTTCAAACTACTCACAAACATTGTAAATTATGAATAGATACACACTTTTATCTCTCACGCATACTCATATAATTCAAGACATATTTGTTTATTATTATTATTTTCATTTGTTCAAGTATGCTTGTATTTTTATGTAATATGTTTGATCCCTCCAACTTTTATATCAATTTTAAATTAAATGACAAATATTTAGTAAAAAACCGAAAAAATCGAAACCGAACCGAAACAAACCGAACCAATCAAACCGTGGTTTGAAGTTTTGGAGTGTAAAACCGAACCGAAACCGAACCGAACTTTTAATTTGGTTCCGTATTTGGTTTTAAGTCAAAACCGAACCGAAAGAACCGAACCCACCCCTAGCTGTCGCTGCACTAGATGTCGATGGCATATCCTGAGATGGGGGCATATGTATAAGATGACCGTAGTCGACTCGCCCCAACACATCCGAACATAAGGAGGCGATGCCCGTCAAAACCTGACCGTACATGTCCACGTCATGCGTATCACTCACTGTGGCAGTAGCCTGCTGATGTATACGCTGCAAAGCTCGTGTCTGAAATATGAAACGCAATTACAATTAGTTAGAAATAAATAAAAGTGTTAAATAAAGAAAACTCCTTACTTTAGTAATTAGTAATATACTTATCGTCAGATGCAAAGCCAAGGAACTAAGCTGATAATGGTGAGTAGGGATTCTGAACGAAGGAGACACAAACAAATGAGTGATGTTGTAATACCATCCCATGTAGTCTCCCGAAACAGATGGGACTAATGTCAGTGTCCCAGTCACAACAAGCTCAGCTCGCCTGTCCCACATAGCGACATATCGGACATGTCTGAGTGCACAATCTTCCGTATGCTTCCCACGCCTATCCAACCTATGAAGGTCTACATATGTGTCGATAGGTGCTGGAATGACCTGCTCATACCCAAACTGTCACAATACACGATCAGGCAAATGAATCCCAACAATGTCAAAACATATCAACGACACACATGCTCGCCATATGTGAGAATGCTCTTGTCAAGTGGGGGGTAAATCTGCAAACATCTCAGCTGTATACGGCATCCATGTAATCAGTTTCATAAAGATACAATATTAGTATTTCTGCTATAGATATTATAGTTAAAGTTATATTACGCACACCATACCTGATCCTCAGACATCCGATCAAACATATCCCTGTACACATCGAGCCCAGAAGCCGATGATGTGCGACAGATAAGCAAATAGCCATATAATCATTCATGTAGCATATATTAATGTGAATATTATGAATATATTTATATTCAACATACAATAACATAAATACAAACGATTGAAAATATACCGACGGCCCAGAGGGTCCTCGCCCCGTACATGATGTGGTCCGAGGAGACGTGGAGGCTCATCAGGCAATGGGTGTCCATCAATGCCATGGTATGCCACTATAATGGGACACCCAATGTGGATGTACTCCCATGACCAAATCTGGAGAAGAAGCAAAAATCCTCCAAGCTCTGTGCTCCCTCTATGGCAACCGCGACACAACTGTCTGTAGAGATAAGCCAGCGTGGCACTACCCCAACTGAACTGTGCTGCTACATCAAACCTCTCTAGCATAGGCAAGTGCAGCACCTGAACCTCATTTCTGCTCTTGTCAGCGAAAATGGAAGCTCCCATCATCATCAAAATATATGCTCGTGCATGCTGCTGGATCATCACCTCATCAGCGTCCGCATGAAGAACAACAAAATGCTCCCTCAGCCATGGCATCCTCAGAGATGACCCTTGAAGGTCATCCCGAAGAAGGGGCCGAACACCCAACAAACGCTCACACTCATCAACCCACTGTCGACAAGCAGTACCAGTAACAACTCTCCCATGAACCTGTAACCGAGTCAGTACAACAACATCTCTCAAGGTCATTGTCACCTCACCAACAGGGAGGTGAAACGTGTGTGTCTCCTGCCTCCAACGCTCAAGAAGAGCAGTGAGTAGCGCTCTATCGAGAGGGACAGTAGCCACCAATCTATGCAGACCATAAAAACCCGCGGCACGAACATGTGGAAGTACTCTGTCGTCCACCCGCACATGCGACAAACCATGTAGGTGCTCGCGACACCTATCCACCTGAACATCGAGGCCAACCCACACATCCTCACTCCTGTGCGAGTCCTGCAATGTCAGGACAGAACGATCGCTCGGCCCAGGATCCGCTGACACCTCCATGCCTACAAAAAATAAAAGGATATTAGTTAATTTTTAATTTTGTATTATTTTATTTTATTTTAATTAATATTTTACTAATTATTTTTTCATGCACCATTACTATCAAATTTGGAATATTTTACTATTATGGCCGGTTTGTTTACATATTCCACATCTAACCGTTCCTCGGGGACCTTCATCCATCTCATTCTTAATAAATGTGAAGTTAGGTCTTCCCTTAGTGCGAACCATGGATGGATCATGCACAATTTCAGGTCCATAGTAAGTCGGCCAATAATCACGGTCAGAAATGGATTCAAAGAATCTTTGATATGTGGCGGCATATTGTTCAGATGAGAAAAATGGATCCACAAATGGATGAGAAGACAAACTACGTTATACACATATGATTCCCATCAACATGATCATTAACAACAAAAGCTTCAAAAAGATCATAAGCTTGAAAACCAAATTCATAATCTTCATTACAACAATACAACCAAATTCAACAACCAAATCAATACCCACATACAACCACACAACACCTAAACATCTACTAATATATCCTACTTCCCAGCAAGATGATAACAAACAACCCGACCACACTACATTCCAGGAGAAAGTCCCATTGTCTTTCTTTGACATCTTAAGTTCCTCTTCCATATTTTGGAGTTTCAAAAGATCAATCTCACGAACACAACTCTTGATTTCACCTTGCATCTCTAATTCTTTCATTCGGAAATTCTCTTCAACACCGGTAATCTTCTAGATCAAGGTCTCTATCCATCTCAGGCAAGTACCGCATTCTTCATCCTCAACCCATTCAAAGAAATTACACTTTTGACCACTCAAGAAACGACTCCACCCATAAAATCTTTGCCCCCTGTTTTGTCTGTTGTAGCAGTCCACACTGGTGCTTGGAGTCCACAGTCACACCTCTTAATTCACCTTCTTGCATCCATCGACCAGGACTCAGCACTCGAAGAACTCATCGCCGTCTTACTCCCCTTTCTTTATTTCCTTCACCGACATCTTAGGACTGCCTTAAACAAGAGGCTGGAGGGTTTTAATAATTAAGCAGAAAAGAAAAGCCACATGTATATACGTAAAAGAACCATTTCAAATTTAACCAAATAAATGATGCCACGTCAGCCCAAACTAACGTCCTAAGGGCCGGTGCCCCAGGTGAGATAACAGAGTGTAATCTTCATTTAGATTTAGGATGATGCCACGTCACCTTAAATTTTTTAAGGTTTGTGTTTTAAGGATGAAATCTTCATATATGAGACCGTTGGACACTCACCATGTTTGAGAAAAAAATCCATACCTAGAGACTATTTGCAGTATCAGATTAGACCAGATCAGACCATAACTTAAACAAATCAAAGCAGATCATACTTGAACATTTATAAAATACATAGAGACTGGACTATTACCAGACCAGACCACACTTAAACAGACCAGGCCACATCAGACCAACAAAATGCAGTCCAAAAGAAAACATCCTAAATCTAATTTATTACCTCTTTTCTTTAGTCTTCTAGCTTTATCTAATCTTATTTTAATTCATACCTCCAAATCTACATTACATAACAAAGTTCAAAAAAAAAATTATATAACAATGATTTCAACATCAACATTCAACACTTCATACATATTCACATTACAGAACAAATCAATTCACAAATGGATTCCTAATTTACAAAATCCAATTTCCTATATTCTAAACCCTAAAATGAAAAATGAGATAAATTGGAGATATTTGTTTACCTAGAGTGTTGAAGAAGATGAAAGTGAAGTAGTATTGACAAGATAGGGAGGCCTCGCCTTCGCTCGCCGGAGTCGGGGTAGAGATTGGTCGCCGCACTTCGCTCGTATCTGCTGCAGAGGGTTTGGGGATTTAGGGGAGAGTTGCGTTCTGTCTGAAACGGCCAACCCGACGTTCTGTTTAAGGGGTAAGTCGCCAAACGGTTGAGCGACTTATAAATCGCCAAACCGGATGGTGACTTGTAAGTCGCACAACCGTTTGGTGACTTACCTCGACCATGGTTAGTCCTAACAGTAGATCGATAAATACTTTTAACCCAACATTTACCGATATCACTATTTAACTATTTTTTCGAATTAATGCTAATTAATTAATTAATTACAAAAATAATGTTGGGTTAAAAGTGTTCGCCCCCTTCTTCGGGCTGACCTTCAGGGGTCATCTCTGAGGATGCCATGGCTGATGGAGCATTTCGTTGTTCTTCATGCGGACGCTGATGAGGTGATGATTCAGCAGCATGCACGAGCATATATTTTGATGATGATGGGAGCTTCCATTTTCGCTGACAAGAGCGGAAACGAAGTTCAGGCGCTGCACTTGCCTATGCTAGAGAGGTTTGATGTAGCAGCACAGTTCAGTTGGGGTAGTGCCACGCTGGCTTATCTCTACAGACAACTGTGTCGCGGTTGCCATAAAGGGAGCACAGAGCTTGGAGGATTTCTGCTTCTTCTCCAGATTTGGTCATGGGAGTACATCCACATTGGGCGTCCCATTATAGTGGCCTACCATGACATTGATGGACACCCACTGCCTGATGAGTCTCCACGGCTCCTGGGACCACATCATGTACGGGGCGAGGACCCCCTGGGCCGTCAGTATGTTTTCAATCGTTTGTATTTATGTTATTGTATGTTGAATATAAATATATTCATAATATTCACATTAATATATGCTACATGAATGGTTAGATGACTATTTGCTGATCTATGTCGTACATCATCGGCTTCTGGGCTCAGTGTGTACAGGGATGCGTTTGATCGGATGTCTGAGGATCAGGTATGGTGTGCGTAATATAACATTAACTGTAATATCTATAGCAGAAATACTAATATTGTATCTTTATGAAACTGATTACATGAATGTCATATACAACTGAGATGTTTGCAGATTTACACCCCACTTGACGAGAGCATTCTCACATATGACGAGCACGTGTGTCGTTGATATGTTTTGACATTGTTGAGCTTCATTTGCCTGATCGTGTTTTGCGACAGTTTGGGTATGAGCAGGTCATTCCAGCACCTATCCACACATATGTAGACCTTCATAGGTTGGATAGGCGTGGGAAGCATACGGAAGATTGGGCACTCATACATGTCCAATACGTCGTGATGGATAGTCTACCCGGGGGTATATATCCGAGGGGTTATTGCGGGGAATAACTTAGAGAGAAGTCAGAGTAAGCAAGTAAATGTAGAGAGAGAGTGTATTCAGTATGAATGCCGTTTTCAGCGTGGTTACAAATGGGGAAATGGGGTGCTATTTATAGTAGCAATAAATGCCGGACAGGGACACGTGTCAAGCGCTCATTGGCCGAGGGGTCACCTCAACTGGTTGGCGCTGGCAGCCGCATGTGGCCGCATTTAATGCGGCTGTTGGATGGGACGTCTGTACAGGGTACGGTGATCTGTACGCATGTGAGGCGGATATCTTGTCGAGTGAGATGCCTTCACCAATTCCTAGTGCCGAGGGCTCACAGTGCCGAGGGCTCACAGTGCCGAGGGCTACTGTTTTCGCCGTTTTCTCCCAGTTTCTTAGTTTGCTTGAGAAACCCGTTCTGTGAGAGTTTAGAGCCTTCGGCCAGGGGGCCGAAGGCACCCCTGGCGCATAGTGCGGGCTGCTTGGTACTCTGGGCGCTGTGATTTGGGCCTGTTGGGCCTTCTGGGCCTGTTGGGCCTTCGCTGGAGTAGTAGGAGTCTGTGGGCCGGGGGTTCCCGGGCCATATACTCCATCAGGAGTCCCTCACTCCTTTTGCCGAAAGGTACTTGAGGGAAAAGGAGTAATTTGTGCTTGCCCTTTGATGTTGTCCCGTCGTGATCTCTGAAGTTGGTGAGGAGTTGTTGCTTTTATGTCCCTGCCGAATGCAGTCCCTCAGTTACCCACATGTCGGGACTTGAGGGCTTGCCTTGTCGTTTGTTGGAATTTCACTAATTTTGTAATTTAATGATTTTCCCGAGGGGGTCCTCCAGTCCCCCACTCCTTGAGGCACTTGTAAAGTGGTGAAAAGGAGTAGAGTAGTTGCGTTGCTGTTGTGGGCCGAAGGCTGACGTTTCTCGTTTCATTTTGGGGGGATGCCTCGTTAAAAACCTCATTAGGAAAAACCCTGTGGGAAAAAATCCTAATGAGGGAAAAAGAGTGCACCGAATTCCCCCAATGATGAATCGAAAATGTCAAACCTTGGTAAAAAATGGAGAATGACGGGAATGCCGAAGGCTCTCTCTTCTGAGGGCTCCTGTGTTGATTAGCCGAAGGCTTGCTGTTGATGTCCTGGTGGCGCCGAAGGGGAGCCCCTCAATCCGGGGATCGAGGGCCTGCCGGATGAGGGCAGCAGTGGAGTTGTTACCGGGAGGTCCACTGTTTGTTGATTAGTTGGTGATGAAGATACCCGAGGGCTCCCCATTACCTGCGTGCCTTGGGTTATCCGTCAATGAGGCAACTCCCCGGGGGCTACCCCGGTTTTGCAGTGCTGAGGGGGAATTCCCGAGGGGTGCCCTGATATGAAGCCTTGGGTTTCTGAAGGGATCCCGAAGGCATCTGCTATGTGCTGTGTGGGGCACAAACTGGGGGCGTCTCTGGGTAAGTGTACCCGGAGGCTCTCCTTGATGTAGCGTAGTGGAGTAGAAAACCCGGGGGCTTCCAGAATATAGCCGTTGGAAATATAGCCGTTGGAATATGTAACGTCAGGATATAGCCGTTGGGGGGGACACGTGGAGTGTAGCCGTTGGCTGCTCGTGGGCGGGCGTCACCGGTTGGGTGAAACGACGGTGTGTAATGATGACGGTCCGTCCGGAGGCCCGGTTTCCGGGCCCAAGCCCGGATTCCAGCGCCTATAAATACCCCAAGGCCAGGCATTCCTCCGTGTGCGAAAAACTTGTTAGCAAAGCTCTGCCAATTTTTCTAGAGAGAGAAACAGCAGCCCCCAGTTGAATCTTCTGTTCTTAAGGTCAGTTCTCTAGTTACCCTTCACGTCTTAGC